TAGTTGCACAATTAATTGATTTGTAAAGCACAATTGGGCATGTTTGCATAGCACAGAATCCTTGGACAAGTTTTCGCTTTTATTGGAGGATTCAATTTTTATTTTTAATTATTAAGCTACATTTGACTGATTCTTCATGTAGCTTTCTGGAAATTTAGTTATATAATTTAACAGCAAAGTGGAACATTGCATCTTTTTATAAATCATTGCTGCTTGAAAATCCTTCCTTTTTTTTTTATTATCATCGTAATTAAGCCGATTTAAGTACCACCTTAAGGTGTTCGTCCGAAGAAGTACCGAAATTTACGCCTGTCTAGGCCTAGTAGTAGTAGGTGGATATATATTACCGCGAAGTGGGGCGGGCGGCGGTACATGCCTTATAATTTACTACGTGGATAGCGAGATTTTTCGATCGCCGTGCAAAGTTAAAATAAAATCCAAAAATCCTCCTCCTTTTTGGAATTTAAGGAAATTAATACATTTTTGTTTCTTTGTTGGATCGATTGCAGCAACCCTAAACCCAACATAACGGTATTTCACATTATAATTATAGCATTAATCATCTATAATAACTGCTAACTTCCTACCATATCGCGTTGTTTTGTTTTGGTGACAACATGGCCGGTGTAAGTCACGTGATTGAAACCGAGTTGGCCAAACTCTCTCTATCTACGGCTCTGTTAATTCTATTCAATACTACATTCAAGCGCTATCAAGGACCAATCCACATTCATTGCATAGCACAAAAATATTCAATAAAATAATTTTGTGGTAGCCTCTACAAAACACTATGTAAAACCCATAAAAATGAAAATATAACTTTGAATTACTCATTTAACAAAACCACGTAAGCGGGCACAGATTTTTCGATAAGTTAAAGATTTAAAAAAAATTAACGATCTACACAAATGTTATTTTAAATTCCTAGTGCTGCCAGAGATTTTGTGGGGTCCTCCTGGTGGTGTTTGGACAGTACACCGGGAGACAATCCCTACTCGAGAAGTCAGGCTCCGGAGGAAAAAAATTGTTGATATGTTGTAGAACTGATTTTTCTAAGACAGAAAAAAGTTGTTTGACGAAAAACTGGGGAACGGTGAATGGGATACAGATTTTTTAATATTTAAAAACTGGGGGAATAAGGTGTAAAAATGGGCAGTTACGTGTGTTTTATAATGTACGCAGGGGTCCCAAGTCTCCCGGAAGTCGCGTGGGTCTCAAAGATTCAAGATTCCATTTATTGTCATATACAAGCAAAGTACATGAAATTTGCTTTCCTAACTATAGGCTAAATATAAAACTATATACAGTGCAAAAAATATACAATAATACATTACAGTCTAAGCAAGCAAGCTAGAATCTCCCGGAAGATCTCGTCTCCCGCAAATTTATATTTGCATTTTTACTACTTTATTATCAAGTCTCACGGAAGTCAATGCCGATGGGTATTATTACCATGCGTAGCAAAATAAATTTGAATAGGCCCTATTATTAAGAAAGCTAATTTATAACCGTGACCTCCCGGAAGGGACTTCTCCCAACTTGGGACCCCTGTGTATACGATTAGTTATGTTGACAGTGTGCAATTCTCTGAATTGTTTACTTTTGGTTACCAACAGGTGATGTTGTACCTTTGTGTATTTTCTTCTTTTATTATCCACCACCGGAAATAGTTTTCTGTATCACATTTATGGGAAAGTCCCTCCACATTTTTCAAAAAAACAAAATATGGCGGGATCGACTCTTTGATATCCTACTAACTGAACTTCCGTGCGGCACGGTCACTCTGAGAGCAAAAGGTTGCAAGTTCAAAATTCTCACCGGAAACATATATTTCAAGTTGAGGGATATGCTCGAAACAATTAGCCATTTGTTTCTGAGCAAATTATTTCTATCTTTACTTTTGTTCATAAATGCTCACTGTACTACTTTACGCTGCATCTTTGTCTTTTCAAGTTTGCCGTACCTATAGGCGGCCCTACATGAATTAAAACAATGTTGGCTGCATCGCGACAATTACAATTACGATAGGAAAAAGAAGCAATAAAAGTGTAGTTTCTGTAACGGCTTCAAGATCAAATTCAAGATTTTTTTTATTTTCATAAATTAGGCCTATAGAGAATACAAAGTGGCGTAACGAAGAATTGATTTGAGGCCCATGGTCCTCTTAAAAATGGCACTTAATATCCTAAACAGTAAGGTTTGGTTTTCTCTTCTATTCACCACCACAATATCAATACAGTACAATTAAAACACAATATAATATTGTTATACATAGAACTATAGTATAACCATTATTAAACATATTCCATTTTCTTTTTTAACAATCCACTCAAATTAGCCTACATTGAATTTAAACCAACTAAAATACGCCCAACATTCAGGCTATGTAAATGGTTGGCAGTATGTAAAAAAAAATTAACAAACTGTAATTATTTCCGAACTTGTATTCTATTTTCATCTGGAAACCTATTAAATATTATATATATA